GGCCTCATCCCTTCACATGGAATTCCCAGCATCTGTCTCCATGTTCGGGACAGTCCCTCTTTAACCCATACTTTAAACCGATGGTCACCCCCTGGTATCTGCCTTCTGCCTATTCCAGGTGTTTTCCAGGCCACTTCCCCTGATTATGTAACTTTCTTTGATCAAATCCAGATGCTGCAGAATGCTTGATAGAAGAGGTCAAATGGCATTTGAAAAGAAAAGCATTACTGTATTCATGACTTTGGTTTAATTTCCTGTATGGGCCTGGTCTGCCAAGGTTAAGGTTGTATGCTCACAGCCACGGGGTTGGGACACTGAGGGAAAGGAGCAAATACTTTTTAAGGACAACTTGAGAAGATGCCCTCCTCCCCCAGTGTACTTTTTTTTTTTTTTTTTTTAGGGGAGAGCGCGAATGCAGTCCCCAGTGTACTTTTTAATGTTAGGTTATCAATTATATAAGCATCAGCTGGCTTCTGTTTATAAATTTTTTCCTATTTTTGTAATTGTTTTTCGATGATAAAAACAATCCACATTCATTCTGAGAAATATGTCAAAATATAGGAAAAAATTAAAGAAAATTCTAAATGTTTGTAATCTCACCTACCCTGAATTAACCATTTTTAAACTACTTTTAATGGTACTGTTAACATACCACCCTGAGTTAACATACTGTTCACATTTTGGTGTAGTTCCTTCTGGACTTTTCTCTGTTTCCTCCAAAAGTATTTTGAACAGCTTTATGAGTATACTAGAGGCCCAGTGCATGAATTCGTGCATGGGTGGGGTCTGGCCGGCCCAGCCCCCAATGGGGACCCATTGGGAGCTGGGCTGGCAGCGGGGCGCGGCCGCAGGAGGGCTCCATCTCGCTCAGTCCCCAGCAAGCTAACCTACCAGTCTGAGCGTGTGCCCCCTGGTGGTCAGTGCACGTCATAGTGAGCAGTTGAGCAGCCTTAGCATATCATTAGCATATTATGTTTTGATTGGTTGAATGGACAAGCAGACACTTGACATATTAGTCTTTTATTATATAGGATTTTGTTTTATGGATGGGACCACAAACTAGCTTATCTTGTGTTGATAAATATTTTGTACCTTTATGTTTTGCTATTTAAAAATCACTCTATACAGATCATTGTGTGGCTCTTGTAGTATAAATTCCTAGAGGTAGGGCAAAGGTTATGGAACTTTTAAAAGACTCGGTTCGTATTTCCAATTGGCCTTCTAAAATGTTACAGCAGTTTCTATACCAAGTACAAGCATAGTATGAGAGTGCCCATTTCATTGAAGTCTCACACTATTAGCCTCAAGAAAATGTACCTGCCAATTTAATGGAGAATTTGCATCTCTTTGATTACTAGAGGGTTAACCTGCTTTCCATTTTAATGGTAATTTAAGTTTTCTGTGAATTGCTTATTCATTTTTTTTAATTTAAATTCTTTATTGTTTAAAGTATTACATAAGTCTCCTTTTCCCCCATTGACCTCTCCCCAGCCACTCCCACCCCCCAGCACATGCCCTCACCCCCTACTGTCTGAGTCCATTGGTTGCTTATTCATGGTTTTGGTCTATTTTTCCATAGTGGAGGGATTTGTCTTGTTTTTTTATATGCAAAAGTTCTTTTATGTTAAGAATCATCCTTTGCCTAGTAGTTTTACTTAATGTAACGATGGTAGACGTTCTTTTGACTTGCTTCCACTTAACTGACTTGGGCTCAACTACCCTTTCCATGGCACAGATACAGGGCTGCCACACCCCATGTCTGCTGTGAGCACTGCCCCGCCACCTGGAGTTGCAGCCACAGCAAAGCCAGTTGTGTTTCTTTCTGAATCTGTTTTGTTTGGGTTTTTTTTAGATATACTTGTTGTTTTAATTACTTGGTTAATATGAAACCAATGAAATCCAAATGTGAAAAGATAATTCTTTCTATGAAAATGAATGCTTTATACAGACTCAGTAAAAGCAGGTCACTTTTTAAAAATTGCTACTGGGCTAGAGGTGAGGTGAGTAAGGCACCTGTGGATAATTGGAGGGGATGTACTGGATTCCATAGCAAATGGCTCTGAGTTCTCCCTCCACCTGCAGGAAAGTGAGCTGGAGATGAGAGTGCATTACAGGTAGGACTTACAGAAGAAGATAACAGCCAGCTCTGAGTGCATAGCCACACCGAAAGGTTAGTCCTTGGCCCTATAGCCAAGACAAGCAAACCAATGCATATTCCAGTAGGGGGAGGAGGTCACATCTGCACTAATAAAAGAGAAAGATGCAAATTGACCATACCTTCACAATGCCCACCAGCCAATCAGGAGTGAGCATGCAAATTAACCCAACAGATGGCAGGTTAATTTGCATACACAGGCGCCGAGCGGCCAGGGCAGGCATCTGCACTGCCCCAGCTGCTCCGGGTTTCTAGGCAGCGTGGGAAGGTGGAAAGGCAGCTCTGGGCCGGAGTGAAGGCGGTGCCAGCAGCCAGGGGAAGGAAGGCCCATTCTTGCACGAATCTTCGTGCATCGGGCCTCTAGTATTTTAATAAAAAATAATAATTCCCTGCTTTAATGAGCTTTTTGTTGTTGTTGTTAATTGATCAATCCCTCATCACGACGGCACTAAACACACTTTGGAGCAGTGGTTCTCAACCTTCTGGCCCTTTAAATACAGTTCCTCATGTTGTGACCCAACCATAAAATTATTTTCGTTGCTACTTCATGACTGTAGTGTTGCTACTGTTATGAATTGTAATGTAAATATCTAAGATGCAGGATGGTCTTAGGTGACCCCTGTGAAAGGGTCGTTTGACCGCCAAAGGGGTCGCGACCCACAGGTTGAGAACCGCTGCTTTAGAGCCAGTTTAAATACTCAGAGAGCAGGGCCTAACACATCACTAAGCCTTTTCCACATTTTAGGGGATGGCAGTGTTATTAGACCCTCCTTTAAATTATCTGTGTCCCTATGATTCATAAGATAAAATTACCAAGCATAGTAATGGCATAATTTGGGATGCATTCTTTTAGAAAAACGATTCCTGAAGGTTTACTTCAGTCAGTATACAAAAGCTAGAATTGAAAGATCTTCATTATCTATGTTCTGTTGGCTTATTCCAGAGAGTTATTAAAGAATGCCCATTTTTGAAAGTTCTCCAGTCATGTTTCTGGAAGTTTAGCTTAGTCCCTTAGTCCTGGTTGCCTCCAGTGGGTTTTTTTGTTTTGTTTTTAAGTGAATGCTGAAGAATCAGGCCTATTCTTTTTTGTTGTTGTTCTTAATCCTCACTTGGGGATATTTTTCTATTGATTTTTAGAAAGTGTGGGAGGGAGGGGGAGAGGCAGAGAAAGAAACATCAATATGAGAGAGACACATCGATTGGTTGCCTCCTGCACATTCCCTAACTGGGGCCAGGATTGAGCCTGCAACGGAGGTATGTGACCTTGAGCGGAATTGAACCCAGGGCCCTGAATTCAAGTCTGCAGGCTGATGCTCTATCCACCGAGCCAAACCAGCTAGGGCAGGCCTATTCTCGAGATGGGTGTTATTGCCCAAGAAAAGATATTTGGGTGTCCTCTAATTCCATAAAGAGAGAAAGTTAAAACAGGTTTGTTTTGTTACCATTTGGGTTTGGCTTAAGTATGTGGTAGATCCTTTCATTCTTTCAAATTAGAATCCCCTCCCCCCCTTTTTTTAGTTTGATTTCTTATTGTAGTTTCCTGAAATGAGTGCTCATATTTCATTTCATAATATCCTTACAACTGTTAAGATCCACTTGGAGTAGATTTGCTGGTTTCAAAGAACCCTTGTGCTTGTTTGTCATCATCACAGAGAAATTCTAGAGCGGTTGAGTGTAGTTCAAGAAAAAGAAAGGCAGAAAAAAACTTCAGGAGAAAACAATGAATTATTTGACCCTGTAGTGACTAATAGTAAATTATTAAAAGACTAGAGGCCTGGTGCACAAAAATTTGTGCACTCGGGGCTGGGGGAGGTGTTTCCTCAGCCTGGCCTGTGCCCTCTTACAGTCTCAACTGTTAAGATCCACTTGGAGTAGATTGGCTGGTTTCAAAGAACCCTTGTGTTTATTTGTCATCATCACAGAGAAATTCTAGAGCGGTTGAGTGTAGTTCAAGAAAAAGAAAGGCAGAAAAAAACTTCAGGAGAAAACAATGAATTATTTGACCCTATAGTGACTAATAGTAAATTATTAAAAGATGTTTATTGGTTTCCCACCTTTAGACTCTACCTATAGACAAAACATGGAAGATTTTATTATTACAGAATAGAAGACACGCTAACTTTCACAAGGTAAAAGAATGAGGAAAGAAGGCCCTTTTGGAGAGTGAGCACAGAGTGAGGAAAGCTGGAAGGAGGGCGAGGATGTTAACATAGCCTATGAAGCAGATAGTTGAGGGATAGGTCTCCAGCCGGTAGAAAAAGAAATGTGCAAGTCTGTTACTGAAAATACACAGGTAACCAGTAGTGGATAGCACAGGAGAGATGGGGGAGGGGCGCAGGGTTATACAGCTTATGTGTAGAGAGATGGAAATGATGGCCCAAAAAAGAGCTGTTGCCTCCAGGTGTGAAGGAGAGTGGATGGAAAATATTTGTTTTTCATTATAAGCCCTTCTGTAATATTTGGTTTTTAAATGATGTGCATATGTTTTTAAATTTAAGAATGTTTTAAGGCAAGAAACTTCCCCTCCATATTATAACATAAGCAGAGGCAGACTTATGAGGATGGATTATTTCCAGTTCATTTTGAATTGGTGCATTTAAATGGCTTACACTATTTGGGAACACCACCTTGGAACGCAAATCCTTAGTGTTTTTCGCAAGATTTGGGAAAAGAAGAGTCCATTCTTTACACCACCTTTCTTTTCATATGTAAAGTGCACAGGCGTTAAACAAAATAAATTAGGAATGTATAATTTTGGAAATAACAGAATTTTTTGCTCATGAGAATAAAATTAATTTTTCCCCTAATTTTTAAAAATTTCTTCTATTCCCTATTTCTCTTTCAGAAGCCCTCCAAAGGCCAGTAGCATCTGACTTCGAGCCCCAAGGTCTGAGCGAAGCAGCTCGTTGGAACTCCAAGGAAAACCTCCTCGCTGGTCCCAGTGAAAATGACCCCAACCTTTTTGTTGCACTGTATGATTTTGTGGCCAGTGGGGATAACACTCTAAGTATCACTAAAGGTAAAAGGGCTGTGGGCAGAGGTGGTAGTTGCAAGAGCCAGAAATTGGGTGAAGTTGTGGCTTGATTGTTCACCCCTTTGCTGATGGAAAGAGCACATTCACAGTTTGGAATGCAGAGATGTCCAAAAAGTCACTTCTCTTGAGAGGAGTTCCTGTGCAGTCGTCCTTCACAAAACAGAGCTTTCCCCCTTCTGTCCTGAAAAAGATACCAGACCCAGAAAAACACTTAAAAAAGTTTTTATTGATTTCCGAGAGGAAGGAAGCGGGATATAGAGAGATAGAAACATCAGTGATGAGAGAGAATCATTGATTGGCTGCCTCCTGCACATCCCCTACTGTCAGTTGAGCCTGAAAACCTTTTATGTGCCCTGACCTGGAATTGAACCAGTGACCTCTTGGTTCCTGGTCGATGCTCAACTGCTGAGTCACACCAACTGGGCAAAACACTTTTTTTTTTTTTTAAAGAAAAGGTATTTTTTTCCTAAAAAGCTGCTTGTATTAAGGCACTTGAGCAAACAAAACATAATAGATCTCTAAAAACTGAGGCTGTACGTTTATCTCGGCTTTCAATACAAACAGGAAGCTTCATATAAAATGTACTCTTATACACTTAAAATGCATACATCTATGTGGACTTGTTGAAATGAAGTAGGTATTTAGAAATTTGGAGATTTTTAGTAATCATACAAGACTAAGTGAGAATGAGCGAATTAGCCTCTGAAGCTGATGTGTCTGATTTGCTTCTTTTCTTCTAAGGTGAAAAGCTCCGGGTTTTAGGCTACAATCACAATGGGGAATGGTGTGAAGCCCAAACCAAAAATGGCCAAGGGTGGGTCCCAAGCAACTACATCACACCCGTCAACAGTCTGGAGAAACATTCCTGGTATCATGGGCCCGTGTCCCGCAACGCTGCTGAATACCTGCTGAGCAGTGGGATCAACGGCAGCTTCCTGGTGCGGGAGAGCGAGAGCAGCCCTGGGCAGAGGTCCATCTCGCTGAGATATGAAGGCAGGGTGTACCACTACAGGATCAACACTGCTTCTGATGGCAAGGTAGGGGCCCGGCCAGGGGAGCTATGGGCAGGTGAGGGGGTTCTTCTTTGGCCAGGAGAACCCAGAGGTCCTGATGGCTGGGTTGATAGTTATTGCAACAAAACTCAACCAAGAAGGTGTTCGAAGAAGCTTTCAAGTAAACAGCAGGTATCAATTTATTAGCCTTATGAAAGACCCTCTATTGAGGACCAATCACATCTACACTAATAAAAGAGAAACATGGTCTAATTTTCTTGCCCGCTACCTGGGTCCCAAGCAACTACATCACACCCGTCAACAGTCTGGAGAAACATTCCTGGTATCATGGGCCCGTGTCCCGCAACGCTGCTGAATACCTGCTGAGCAGTGGGATCAACGGCAGCTTCCTGGTGCGGGAGAGCGAGAGCAGCCCTGGGCAGAGGTCCATCTCGCTGAGATATGAAGGCAGGGTGTACCACTACAGGATCAACACTGCTTCTGATGGCAAGGTAGGGGCCCGGCCAGGGGAGCTATGGGCAGGTGAGGGGGTTCTTCTTTGGCCAGGAGAACCCAGAGGTCCTGATGGCTGGGTTGATAGTTATTGCAACAAAACTCAACCAAGAAGGTGTTCGAAGAAGCTTTCAAGTAAACAGCAGGTATCAATTTATTAGCCTTATGAAAGACCCTCTATTGAGGACCAATCACATGATATTATAAGGGCTGGTGTGGTTCTCTAATTTTCTTGCTGGACTTTTGTTGTTAGCAGTTTCATAAGATAAGTGGGATATCTGTTGGGTTTCGTACAAAGTCAAAAGCCACCTTAATAGCACCTCCCCAAAATAAGTCTGGTCCATAGCCTTCTGTCTATGGATAAAATCATGTTTGTGTCTAGACACAGTTTTTTTACAAAAATGGGATCACATATCCGTAGATTTCCAAACCCAGACTAGTTTTGTAAAGAGGTTGATATACTAGATGGTTTTGTCATCTTCATACAAAGGGTTCTTAAGAGTCCACAAAGGGAAGGGAGGGATGAACACTTAGCAGGATCCTACTGTGTGCTGGGGCATTTCATCTCTTAGTCAGTCTTCAGGACAGATATTGCTGTAATCTGCATTTTTGCATGATGAATGGATGGTCAGAGGGATGACATTTCTTGCCCAAGATTAATTAATGGAATTAGGCTGCAACCCCACTGTCAGCTCAGTTGTTGAGGGTGTAGATAGATGAATTGTGGGGGTGAGTCCAGATGGCGTATGTATTCTTTAATTATATGTAATACATGCACATGGTTTGAAAAAAAATGAATTACAATGAAAAGTAATTTTGTCTAACTTAGTACCCTACCCAGAGGCAAACACTATAACCAGTTTCTTCCAGAGTTACCTGATGTATATATGTTTACATTTGAAAAATAAAACAAACCATGCATATTGCACAGTGTTCTGCTCTTGCTTTTCCCACCTGATAATGTGTTGGAGATTGTTTATGGCAGCACATTTAGAGCTGCCTCATCCATGCCTAGCATGGATGGACCATCATTTATTTAAGTAGTCCCTGCTGGTGGACGTTTAGGTTGTTTTCAATCTTATCTATATACTAGTGGCCCGGTGCACAGATTTGTGCTCATTGAAAGGAAATTAATTAGAAGAAATATTTTAATATCGCTATTCGCCCTTTCTCTATAATAGAAGTGTCAACCAAATTCACGATGGACAATGACAGATCGAAACACACACGTGCGATTGGCGCCAGCAAGTGCTTTATATGTATTGCACATGCGCGAGTCAACTTAGCCTTTTATAGATATAGAATAAACTTGCTTAATTAGACCTGCTTTCTGATGTAGCTAAACTTTTTCCAGCCCAGTGAAGCACCCCAACTTGTCTTTCAGGTAATTGTCAGCAACACAGCAGTAAATGTCAACACATTTGTTAACATACTCATGAAACCCTGCTTACTCCTAATATATGTAATGCACTCTGATATTTTGTATGCTTCTGTTTCTTTTTTTCTTAAATTCTGGTCATAATCTACTAAATTGATTCCATAGACTCCCTAGTGGGTCATGCCTTGCAGTTTGGAAAAACACTGCACGTACTACTTTGTGTACAGTGGCGCATATGCAAGTTGTTGCTAGAACTGGTGGAAGGGAATGTGCATATACACTTGTGTGGATATCACCCACTTACCTTCTGTGGAGATTGTACAAATGTGCTTTCTTACCAGCAGGGTATAAGAGAGCACGTTTTTCCTCACCCTCCTCAGCAGCACACTGTCAGACTTGTAAAAACATCTCTCTGATTGGTAAAGCTGGTATCTTGTTACATTTAATATGCATGTGTCACATTTTGAATGATTCCTATGCCTTTTACTAAATGCATCTTTTCCTACATTTCTGAAATACACCACCAAATTTACATACAAATTATTAAATACACCACCCTCTTGGCTCCGATTTGCCTCTCTCTCCGTGTTGATCTCTCTCTCTCTTCTTCCATTGGTCTTTCTGTACATGTGCCAATACCAGACTTTTACTTTGTAGTGCTATATAATGTTTTAATGTCTGGTAGAGCTAGTCCCCTCTTCTTAATCTTTTTAGCATTTTTATGATTATTCTCACATGTTCATTTGTACCATCCATACAAATGCATGTAGTGTATACATATATATGTGTATTTAATTTTTCTACCTGTTCTTTTTGCATGTGTTAAAGTCCTTTGACCAAAGTCCTGCTGCCAGTTGCCGATGCTTTTCATCACGGCAGACATCTTTGTGCCAGCACTGTGGACTGTGTGGCAGACAGCATAGTCGCTGTTGATGTGTGACTAGAGATCAGTCTCATCAGCTTGTTTTTCGGGAATTATCCCAGATGTGGAGCGAGGTTCTTCCATTCTGCAGATGTAGGCCCTTGGAAACCTTGCCTTCAGACCACAGAGGTGCCTTTTTAATGAGTTAGAACAGCAGAGTGCACCTAAAGGAGGTGACTTCTTGCAGCTGACATATTGCTTCCCATCTGTGCTGTTTCTCCAAGGCAGGCCATGCTGCATGGTCATCAGTTGAGGTTTGTATTGAACAGGGCAGTGGTCTCTTCTCCCTGGATGTGTAATCAGCACCCTTGCTGGCAGATGCAGGCAGGCATGATCTAGTTTGACAACTCAAAGGGAGAGAGCAAGGCCTACGTGTAGGATGCATGACTTGCAGACTCTGAGAGTCAGCTGATGAAGACAACCCTCTGTCTAAAACAGTGGTTCTCAACCTTCCTAATGCCACGACTCTTTAATACAGTTCCTCATGTTGTGGTGACCCCCAACCATAAAATTATTTTCGTTGCTACTTCATAACTGTAATTTTGCTACTATTGTGAATCGTAATGTAAATATCTGATACGCAGGATGTATTTTCATTGTTACAAATTGAATGTAATTAAAGCATAATGATTAATCACAAAAACAATATGTAATTATATATGTGTTTTCCAATGGTCTTAGGCGACCCCTGTGAAAGGGTCATTCGACCCCCAAAAGGGTCGTGACCCACAGGTTGAGAACCTCTGGTCTAAAAGCTGGTGTGCGCCAGGGGTTCCTTTCACTGCAGGTGCAGCACAGGACACTCATTTGATCAGGCACTACCACCACTGGGCAGCTCATCAAAGGCCTCGGCCTCTCGCCCTTCTCCCTCCCTGACAAAGACCTCCCTTTAGCTGTTTGCACCTGGAGGCGTCTTGGCCCCCAGGGTCATCTGGCAGACCATCTGCGGAGGAGGCTCCGCTCTGAGGGCTGCACCTCGGGGCCGTGTTGGGTGGGGTCCTGCTCCTGGGATGCGTGGAGCAGCATCAGAACAGGGAGGTATCGCAGTGACTCGAGACTGTGGCTGGGCACTGACAACGCTGCTCGCGCAGAGCGTTGCTGCAGTCCTTTCTGGATTTCCAAGAAGAAAATGGAAGGTTGGTAGGAGGGACAGGCTGGGGCTGAATAAGTTTAATCTTGATCTTCAGAAAACAACTGAATTTCAAAGATTCTTCTGTAAGGCTCCAGAGGGTTTCTTCCGTCTCCGCCCTCTTGGCTCCGATTTGCCTCTCCGTGTGCTGAGCTCTCGGCAGCAGTCGGAGCCAGTCAGCCCAGGGCCGGGGGGCTTAGAGCTGGACTCTTGGAAGGGCCCCCCCAGACTGAGTCACTGCTGTTTCCTTCGTCTTGACAGCTTAAACATCTTCAGCTCTCCTGGGCCTGGGATGTCATTCTTCCATGCTTCCTCAGAATTTGTGATCCTCTGCCAACAATGTGGAATTAAAGACTGATTTTTATTCGCCACCCCCTCCAAATCCTTCTTAGTGCTTCTGGTTGTGTCTTCACGTTAGTTCTGTGAGGTGCCCCTGTCAGGCCCCCCAATTTCTTACAGCCCTTGATGGAGTCTTTTCTTTGAAGAGATGCCCACTGACACTTATTTTCTCAGTCTGCTGGAGTGGCAGGTGCAGGTTGACAGGAGTGGAATTTGGGCTTACGCTTCAGCAGAGGTGGCAGGATGGGCCAGTATGTAATTTCTAGAATTTTAAGATTTATGCCCCCTGACAGAGGCTCGGCAGGTGCCGGCATCCTGGTGAGAAGCTTGCTGAACCTGGCTGGCCTTCCCTTTTGGAGGAGCTTGGGAGCGATGCTGAGCACTGCTAAGTTATTCAGTACCACCTCGCTGCTGGCCTGTGAGAGGCTCTCCGGGGAAGGGCACTCCTGGCCGAGAGCCTGTGAACAGGACACCTACGGTGGGACTCCAGGGTCAGGCGCCTCAAGGGTACACGAGTCTAAGCTCTGATAAGCCTGGGAGACGGCTGTCAGGAGGAGAGCCGTTCCCGTTGAGTTTCTTTGACAAGCCCTGTCTTTCGGGTTCCTGGTGATCAGGAAGAGGCCTAGCCCTGGCTGAGCACCCAGAGTGTTTATGTAACCGGCTGCATAGCATAATGACATGCCATTCATAATGCTAATTTCACTTTCTTCTCTGAACATGCCATGAATTCCTGATGGAGATTACTCAGGTCACTAGCAAAAGCTGCTAAAAAACTAGAACTAGTCAGAGGGAAGCCATCAGACTTCTTGACTGTTAGGAGATGGCTGTGCAGTGCATTTAAGGAAGAATAATTTTAATACTTAATAAGTGTCGGTATATAAATTTTATGTTGAAAGATGAACTGAGTCACAGGGTCTGTAAATTTAATTATTGAAAAGGGTGAAGTTTGTCCAGTCATTGAAAGCTCCCATAACTCTGAAATGTCTAACCGAGGAGCCTGTGAGGGAATCAAATGAGACCGAGAACAAATTCTACATGAACTAGGGCTTGGGGAGCCATTAGCATTCTGGCAGTTGAGGGAGCGTGATCTTTGGGTTGGGGAGCACTCCTTTCGAGCTGAGGCGGAGAGAGAGGTAGTGAGCCGGGCCCCAGGTGACCTGCCTGTGCTGTGCCAGTGATTTCCAAGGTGGGGGTGCTCTGGGTCCAGGGAGTGCCTTCTCGGATGGCTTTCTCTCTTCTCGCCATTGCTTGGTAGGGAGGGCACTGTACACCGAGCTAAGCCGAGAGAGGAGGGCGTGGAGCATCGCAACCTGAAGTAAAGTATTTGCACGCCTGGCAGACTTTTCCAGAGAGGGGTGGGGCTTTAGGAGCTGTCCCCACGTCCCATTGGGTCTCTGACCTGCACTTGGGTCGGGACTAACACTGATGGTGCTGTGCAAGCTGAGGGCAGGCTCGGCAGGCGGACTGCGCTCCCCTACCCACTGCAGCACTGCATCTGTTCAGGCATCTGAGCATGTCGCACGGCATGTCCCTAGAGCAGGTCACTTCGAGGTGCTCTCAGGCATAAAAGTGGGGCCTTCTGGTGGGCCGCCTCCTTACCCTCCAAGGTCCTGCCATTCGAGGCACCATCTCGCAGAGGGACAAGCTCCCCAGACCTGTGGAGTCTTTCTGGACAATTCCTGAGTTGCTCAGAATTTTATCTTCGTAGGGTTGCTACCCAAAGATTGTAAATTATAAACCTGTAAGCTAAAGTTTGCCATTGGCTTGCCTGAGTTTTAACAATTCGTTTACGTTACCTCTCTAAGCAGCAAAAAGAGAAAATCTCCTTGTTGATGAATCTTATTTAATATTCTGTTGAGGGTAATGGAAGGGATCAGCTTGTATATTTGTCATTTCCTTCCTTTAAAACACGTTAACTGTCTGGTATCACACCATCAGGAAGGAGTGGAGCCGACCGTAACCAACAGCCACGGCCTTGGCCTTGCCATGTGTGCTCAGGCCTTTTCTTCCCTTTCCTTCCTTGAAGTAATCAGATGTTACAGCTACAGCTGACTGGTCCTGTTCCTCTTTCTCTCTCCTGCCCCAGGCATCATCACTGTTCCAAGTCTTCATTCCTCCCTCCCACACCTTTGCAATTTGAGCAAGTCTTACGAACACCTAGTCATGATTTTGAGTATTCTTTCTGCCTTCTTCAGGATGGTGGGCTGGCCTCAGCGAGCCAGTAGATTCAGTTATGTGCCTGGAGTCCACATGTTCTGTGGGGATTTTAATGTGGAATTGATTCCCTCACCACATCACTGAAGCAGAGAGAAGAAAAAAGATAGCTGTCACATCCACATGGCCCTCTGCCTCCTTCCTTTGCCTCCCCCATCTCTGTTGTGTCTAGATGAGAACTCCTGGTGGTGGGGCTCCCTGCACAGCTGCTCACCGCTGCACATCTCAGAGAGGGACTCGCATACACTGGTGTCTGAAAGCCTTCTGACTTCCTGTGTGGAAAAGCCCGTGCGGCCCTCCAAGGCCTGGCTCTTCCTGAGGAGCGCTGACCAGCACCCCACGGGGGGTCCAGGGCTGGGCCTTGCAGGGCTGGGCCTCTGATGCTTCTTACTTGGCCCAAATCCAGGAAGTAGGAATGAGAAGGACATTTATGCTTTGTTCAGTAATTTTCATCTCTGATCACTGTTTAGTTCTAGATAATTATATAATTATAGGTAATAACGATAAGTTTTAATAAGCATAATTTCCTATATAATAAGGCTAATATGCAAATTGTCCCCTCAACCGGGAGTTCGGAAGTTCAACCGGGGTGGAGCCAGCTGGCCAACCTCCCCCATTTCCTCCCCTGGCCGGATCGGCCCCCATCAGGGCAGGCTGGCCGGACCCCACCCATGCATGAATTTGTGCACCGGACCTCTAGTTTTTAAATATTTTCTAATCAGCAATACTTTTAAAGTTCTACCCTTCACTACTATAATCAACAACTATTATCAAGTACCTATTATGTGCTCATTCTTGTTGTCAACATTGGGGCTACAGGATAAAAACGGATATTTTAGGGCTTTGCTCTCATATAGCTGACATTCTAGTCAGTGGAGACAGACCATCAACAAGCCGATAAAGCGGAATTATCAGTTAGTGGTGAGTGTGGTGCAGAGGAGTAAGACAGGTGATATGATAGTGCTGGGTGGTGACTTTAGATCGGGTGCTCAGGGAAGAATTTTTGGACATTTACACTGGGCTCAGGATGGCAAGAGAGAACCAGGCATGTACTAGTGAGGGTTAGGTAGGTGGAGGATTTCACTCAGGAAGCAGGTGCAGAGGCCCAATAAGATGCAGAGGCGTCTTATTGCATCATTCTGCTTTAGCCGGAATTGTCATGCACATGATAGCCTGGGTAGCTCTTGGTCCTATGTGGAGAGCCCGTTATCTGCGGGTTTGCTGTGCATACATTAAGGCTCACAAAGCTGGTTTACTGGAGTGGAGTGTGTATTTACTCTGTGGGCTCTTTTCCTCAGCTCTACGTGTCCTCAGAGAGCCGCTTCAACACTTTGGCCGAGTTGGTTCATCATCACTCAACTGTGGCAGACGGGCTCATCACCACTCTCCACTACCCAGCCCCCAAGCGCAACAAGCCCACTGTGTACGGTGTGTCCCCCAACTATGACAAGTGGGAGATGGAGCGCACGGACATCACCATGAAGCACAAGCTGGGAGGAGGCCAGTACGGGGAGGTGTACGAAGGCGTGTGGAAGAAATACAGCCTCACGGTGGCCGTGAAGACCTTGAAGGTAGGCCGGGGCCGCGGGCTGGGAGGCCCGAGAGCCTCCTCTGCTGTGGGGCTCAGTGAGAGACGGCTCGTCGTCTGCGGGTGTGCAGAGGGGCCCTTTCCAGGGGGCTGCCGGCTGCACACAGGGCCCGAGGGGTCCATGGGTGCCGAGGAGTTGACTCTGGAGTCTCTTGTCATCTGTTTCTTTGCACTTTGAGTCACTCTCATAATCTCAGTGTGTTTCTACATATGGTGAGGGCTGAGAAGTGCTGCGGTTTTTGGTGTAAAAAGATGAGTCATTTGGAGAAGTTTTTTTCATTCGATGGCAAGAGTCTTTTAAAGCCGTGGGTTTCCGTTCTGTTTGTGTGGCATTTGAATCACTTCCTATTGAGAGTTAAGGGAAGGAAGGAAGGAAATAAAAACCTAGTTTTGAAAGGAGATTTAACCAAAATGCGTTTGACATTTCTGTGGGTTTTTGTTGGCAGCTTTGAAAAGCAAGTGCTATTTGTTTCTAAGCAGGTTCCAGTTCTCTTTATTGTGTGTCCCGACTTCTGGAATTAAGGACCCATTAAGGCAGCGGTTCTCAACCTGTGGGTCGCGACCCCTTTGGCGGTCGGACGACCCTTTCACAGGGGTCACTAAGTCCATCCTGCATATCAGATATTTACATTATGGTTCATAACAGTAGCAAAATTAAAGTTATGAAGTAGCAACGAAAATAATTTTATGGTTGGGTCACAACATGAGGAACTGTATTTAAAGGGCCAGAAGGTTGAGAACCACTGCATTAAGGCTTCTTACTAACGCGGATCACCTGCCCCGCCCCCTTCTTTCTTGTTATCTGTGACTTTCATCCTCTCAGCTAATGCATATAGTGTGTGGCCTTTCCAGGCGGCTTGTTTTCCTTTTGAAGTTCTTAGAAATCTTTAGGATGCCCAGGGAAGGAAGTTTTAATTTGCAGCCTTCTTCCCTATGTGATCCGCGCCTTACCTTTGGCGAGAGTGTCCCCTAGTGTTGACCTGCATGATTTTCACTTGTTTTAAGTGAACGACTGTGTGGGTGGACGTGTGCGCAGAAACTGAGAGTCAGCCCCTTTTTGCAGCTACAGGAAAGGAAAAGAACTGGAACATCCCCTGCTGAGAAAATGGACCCAACTATGTGTACGCTTCTCAAACGGCAGTCAGGCGCACGCAGCGAGACCGTGCGGCCAAAGCGCTCGCCTTTTAGGGACTCCGTCACCCTCCTGATATCCTCACTCAGAGGCACAGGAAGGTGGAAATGACGATTTCTGATTAATAAAAAGCGATGCTTTAGAGAAAAAGTCACATTCTTTAGGCCTAGCAACCAAAAGAGCTTCCTGACACTATATTCAATGTGACCCCTGAGATCTGTCCTGGGGCCAAGACTGACATTTGGGTGTGGGGGTGGTGGTGGTGTGGTTTAGGGTCACCTTGTGGACTCCTATGTATTTTCCAGATGGGATTTTTAAAATTTAATAAGCATTTATGAGTTCGTTATTTTTGTTTGCCAGACCCTGCGCTTAACACTGGGGTTGTGAAATGAATTAGACAGAGGCCTTCACTTCAGACTAGTCTAGGTAGTTAGGATGGTCTAGTTAGTAGTAGGCAATCTAGTTAGTAGGAGAAATGAGCAAGCATATCAGTAATTGTAGTGAGTGTGACAAAGACCACGTAAGGCATGAACGTGGCACTGTGTCACTTCACAGGAGTGAATGGAGGGGCTGCCCAGTGAGCTCTGCTTGGTGGGGAGGAAGCATGGAGGGAATCGGCAGCCGGGGCCATAGTGGAGGTGCAAGCCCTGGCCAAGGGAGCAAAGGTCAGGAGAGACAGGTGGAGGGCAGAGAGGGCACAGCCAGGGGGCTTGAACCCGGCTGAGGAGCTGGGCTACTATCCTGGAGGCAGTGGGGCCCCTTGAAGGGCTTAATGCACAGGAGTAGGACGATAGGCTTTGTGTTTCACAGAGATGGCGACATTGGTGAGCCCTAGAAAGAACTAAACAGCCATTGCCCTGCCGCTTACAGACCAGGGGGCACAGAAAGGGGTGTGTGCTTGTGTGCAGCACCTCCATTTAGCACTCAGTTGTGGACTCGGCCCAGGGACACTGGGCCTTGACCTGTTAAAAGCCAGGGTGTCACCCACACATTTGCCAGGATTTGCAGAATGAAACAAGGAAGACTAAAGGTACAAAATACACTGGATTTCAGTCCAGGCAAGACTTGCGTGAAAACTTGAAAAAGAGGTAGAGCGCGCGCAACTTGAAATGTGAGGGAGGCCCAGCTGATGCTGTGGTGGTGTTTTCTGAGCAGCTGAAGAAGGGGGTTCAGAGTAGGGACTTCCTGCAACTCGGTGGTGCTGGTAGTTTCTTATGCCAGTGAATCAGAATGATCTGGAATGTACTTCTCTAATGCCTTATTTTTAAACTTTATTATATGCTTTTAATGATTTTCCCCAAGAGCCTTATTAACTTATGGTCCCAACGTACAGGATCCAGTTGCATGGAGTTCTGTGAGCAGTCACCCCAAGTGGTAGCCATTTAGGGAAAGGAAAATGCATCATTATCTTGAGGGATGTTAACCCAAAACATGGTACTAAGTGACTGCTAAATAAATGATCCCTCCCTCCCCCTCACACTGCATAAAACATCTCTATGTTCCCCACTTCTCAGATAAGATTAGTGTCAATACTTCGAGCATTTATCTCCACTGTAGAAGTTGAGGACTTTGAGTGGACTCTAAGTGACAGTAATGGCTGACATTTACTGAGCTCTTACCATGTGCCTGGAAGAGTTCCGAGTGCCTTGCATATATCTTCTCAGTTAAACGTTACAACAACTTTAAGAAAAGGGTAGTACTATTTCCACCATTTAAAGATTGAAAAAACTGAAGCAGAGGGAGTTTAAGTAACTGGGCTGGAGTTACACAGTCCGGAGTGGCAGAGCCGGGCTTTAAACCCAGACATCCTGCTCCTAAGCCCAATGATAATGATTTTGTCACTCAGGTTCTTATTCTCCATATACCACAAAATATATACATAAACCACGCTTATGCATCTTAAAATCACCTTTCCCCTCTCCCCATTCACTTCCCTCATAGACTGTAGCCATGATCTGCCTTTCTCTTCAAGACTCCTTGGAAAACCTTGCAGCTCTAAACCAGGTGGTCCTCCAAACCAGATGACCCTCCACTCAGTGCCTCTTTGTGCCAGACCCCAGTGGGCCCCTAAGTCATTCTCTTCCCTCATCCCTGTCCTGCCAGGGATGTATTGTTGTATTGTTGGCCCCTCAAAGGGCAGAACCCGCAGGGGGAGCAAGGCCCTACATTTAACCATGACTCCTTATTGAACCACCAGGCAGCCTTGGCTCCTATACCCTCAGGCATAAGGAAGACCAGAAGAAAGCAGGAGGGAAAAAAAGGAGGCACTAGGTTGACCCCTATGGGTGGGAAACTGGAAATACAGCAAAGGCCTACTGATGGGGAACTACTAGTTGGAATTTTGACAATATTCAGTAGGTCATAGGCTTGACTTCACCCTTGTCAATGGCAGGATGTGCCTAAGAGAACCAATTGTCAGATACAAAAGCCCCAAGTTTCACATGAGTTGTGTTCCAAGTTAGTTTGTAAGTCAGTTTTTTCCTATGAAACAGTTGTGTAAGTTATAGAATTTGGAAAAGACTACTGTTAGTCTAGTTGGGGTGTTATGATTGAATCATAAGCTAACTAATTTACCATTAAAATAGTGGAACATAATGTTGTTATATGTTGACTTAAAATTGTACCCAGTTCTTTACCTATTTTTCAAACAGGTAAGATATGCACAGCCTCCTCCTTGATTTTTGTGTCTTTCCAGAAATAGTCCGCGTGTGCATGATTTTTAACCATGTGGCGGCATGCCGTAGACACTGCCCCGCACCTTCTGTGTCGACTTCTCGTAACTTGACGGTTGTTCCTTGTCATACACGTCAGGTTGTCGCACTTGTGTGGCTGTGTTTCAGGATGTACCAATCTCGGTGGGCATTTGTGTTCTTTCCAGGACTTGACTGTCACAAGCAGTGCCACAGATGCTGCTTGTTTGCACGTGTGGCTGAGTGGCCTGCTGGGTCTGCTCGAGTAGAACCACTGGATCCAGGGCCACGTGCGTTTACGGTTGTGACCTACTCCCAGGTGCTCCCAAGGAGCCCGGCCTTTCGCACGCTGCCGGCGGTGTTGAGGACGCACGGGCCTCCTGTCCCCTCACCAGCTCAGTGTGTTGGGTTTTATGTGTGTCATTTCCCCCCAGGAAATCGGTTCTATTGGAGAGCTCCAGGAACGAGCGGAGGAAGGGCTCCCTGGCAGCACTAACACGGGACAGTCCTCGCGGTGGCTCTCTGGCTTCTCGGGGGGCCGTGCACCCGGAGAGGCCGCGCAGCGGCGCCCGCTGTTGCCGTGCACACTGGGCCTTGGGCAGCATCTCTCCTGGCTGCGGAGCGAGCCTGGATGCAGCGGCAGCATGTGGGGACCAGCGCTCTGGGGCCTCCTCTGTGAGGTGGTTTCTTGTGGATGTTCGCTTGGGCTTCAAGTCCCCTATCTGCTTTGTGCCCCACCTTCCTCAGTAGAGTTGTCTGCCCCAGCTTTCCAGTGTTTTAAACGTGTTGACCCCGGTCCACCTGACGGGTGAAGGATGGTCCTCCCTGTGGTTGTAACCCTGCTCACCTATCGCGCCAGAAATATGTGGAAACTGATCTCTCAGACAGAAAGAAGCCCTGGTCCAGGGCCGGGGTCCTCACTCAGGGAGGCAGTGAGAGCCCTAAAAGCTGCAGCAGCAGGACGTGGAGCCATTTTTAAACTTATTTTTAATGACGTAGAATACGCACTCTTGGAGGTGAGCCAGTGAGCACACAGATGAAGCTGGTTAGAACATACCTGAGAGATGTTGAGTCTGGGAGAATGTATCTGTGAGAAAGACAAAAACAGTGTTAAAGAGCCAGCCTGTCTTAGATACAAGCAGTGTATTCAGTCTCCTTCTCAGGAGTGGAGACCAGCTGTCTTTATAGTAATAAGAGTTCCGCTGGCGGAGCACTGACCGTGGCCTGGGCACTGCACGGGGCACTGCTGTTCTCTCCTCTTGTAGACGAGAACGCGGCAGCGCGTGCTGGCCTCTGTGTGATCTGTAAGTCACTTGTCATGGGTCCACAGTGGCAGAGCCTGGTCGGCAGAACTCACCAGCGTCTCTTAACCTCTCGGCCGTGCCAGCCAAAAGTTCACCCGCTCCTGGGCCGGGCCAGCAGTCCTTGTGAAGAGAGGCTGGGTGACCCTCCCCCCTAACAGATGAGCCTGAAATTCACAGCTTTTACTCAAAGTGTTGCCTTCACCCTAATTAATCTGAGCAAGTTTTATTTTACTATATAAATGGAAGAATTCTCTTCAGAAACGTGGTGGGAAGTTTTTAAATGGAATTGAAGGAATGTAAATGTAGCAGGATAGCATCAGGGACAGGTCTACCTTAACATAGCGACAGGCAGTGTGCCGTTAGCAGTTTACATTATGAGTTGAAGCAGGTGAACCAGCAGAGGGAGACAAGTTCACACTGACTGTCCTGAAAGGAAACAGCAGCCCGGATTGAGTTATACTGTCCACACAGGTGCAAGCATGTGTTTGAGTGAATGAAGAGAGAAAGGCTGACAGAGAGGAGAGAACAATACAACCTTTGAAAGTTGCATTGTTCTTTTGTGCATGCCCAAGTCTCAGGATCTATTCTAGAACATGGTTCTTTTAGAGAAGAGCCAGTAGCTATAAGAGCAAGTGATGTTTCTGAAATTATTTTCACTGTGCGTGGTTTTTTACATGGCGTAGTAAAATAAAAAAACTCTGCGTGTCTAGAAAACTTCATGGGAGAGCGACTTTTTGAACATATTGTTGGCCAAGCAAGATTCTTAAAGCCCTGGTCCTACATGAGCAGCACTGAGTCTCCGGGTCTGGCAGGCGTTCGCTCTTTGACATGAGCCTGTCAGCTGGTAAATCAGGGCACTTCACGCCCAGAACAGCATGGTCGGCTGAGCATGTTAAGGGGTAGACAGGACTCGGAAGAATTAAACAGCTAATGGGGTGGCAGCAGGGATGAGTCCCTTTCCCCAGATAGCTTGACGCAGAGACTACCAACCATGTTTAATTGACATTTAGAGCAGCTTGCTATTTTTAAAGAGCAGTAAATTGTTTCGGAGTTTCAGTCTCACAGAGCCCTCACTAAGCAAAGTGATAATGGGCTGACACATAACTCATTGGTCATGCTTCACTTGTAAACACAGTAGACCAAAAGCAAGGAAGCGCTGAGAGGCCGGCCCGTCCTCTGGAAGTCTTCCCTCAGGAATGGTGCCCTCAGTGAGGACGGCATCAGATCAGGGTCTCCCAAAGGGGCAGGAGGAATCTAGTTTTCAAGAAGTCACCCCCCATCTCCCATGCACTCTTTCTCTTCAGTAAAACTCAAACTCCATGTTGAAACTTGGAGGGTGGCGTCATTGGCCTTTATAGCCTGGTTCTCACAGCAAACAGACCATGTCATTTACCACCACCTGCTTCCTGTGTTGTAGACAGTGGGTTCTTTAAGTCAAAAAGAGGTTTACCCAACAGAAGCCACAACAAGGCTCTGGTACAATAGGGTCTACCACAGGGCCAGGCGCCGCAGCGCTCCGCACTGCAGCCCAGAGCAGCGATTTCAACCCTTTTCATCTCACACATAAATAGATAACTAAATTCAGCACACCAAAAAGCATATTTTTCTGCCAGTCTGACCAAAAAAAAGGTATAATTTTGATTTATTCACACCAGACAGCTATTTTTGTATTGATTGTTGTCATTTTTTTATTTGACAATCTAAGGGAAAAGAGGTCTGTGCCCTTGACTAAATAGTCAGGTATTGCATGTTTTAAGAATTCTTGCAGCACACTGGTTGAAAATCGCCGGCCTAGACTCAGAATATGTGAGGAAATGCAGAAGTGTCTTACATTTGCTCTGGGCATTTGCTGATGTCTTTGTCTCCCCTCGGCATTCGGATACTGCGAACTTGCAGCCCTGAGGATGGTTTTAGAAGCTGAGTAATTGACCTGGCAGAGCGGTGGCTGCTTCATTAAGCGCCCATGACACCACATTCTTTAACAGTGTCAGTGCTTTGTTCCTGCCGTGTTTTGAGACATCGTTCTTCTTTGGTAATCCAGTACCTTTTGTATCACCAGGGTCTCTTCTCTTAAATCAAAGACACATTTCAGATTCTTTTTTTTTTTTTTTTACATTATGCATTTTAGGACCCCTTGAAAACTCACTGTTCCTTAGGGAACTAGTACCACGTTTGTGGCATTTGCCTGTACACATCTCCCTTACCCCCACAAACTCCACAGGGTGACAGAAACAAATATGGTCTGTGCCACCAGAAGCAAGTCACCAACATACAGAGGCCAGCCCAGATGTGTTGCCCTGGGGGAAATCCAGGAGTTGAGCACCAAAGCGGGAACTTCTTGGTGCTGTTGAGGTGATCAGCAACAGCGGCGGAACCTGTCCCGAGCGTGTGGGGCTGAAACTGGTTGGCCAGGGGATTGTTCATCGAAGCCCCAGCTCGTACTGACCATTCACGCCGCACTTTCCCACTCAGACACGTTCCTTGCTGAGATAATTTCACCACCTTTTTTTCCTGCAGGAGGACACCATGGAGGTGGAAGAGTTCTTGAAAGAAGCCGCAGTAATGAAAGAGATCAAGCACCCTAATCTGGTACAGTTACTTGGTGAGTGTGTGCAATAAACCCTTGGGGTGGTGCAGGTGCCGTTAGAGCAGAGGTGAATGGCTGGCGAGAGTTTGATTTGGACATCTGTTCCCTGCCAGCATTCAGCCTTTGGTAAAGGAGGCCTTTGTGTGTGTTGGGGGGTTTGTGAAAGAGAGAATGTTACTACTTTAAATTGATACCTAAAAGCATTCAAATCTCAAATTGGCTTCTGAAACTTAAGAATTTTTTTTGAAGTATGTTTGTATTGATTTCAGAGAGGAGTGGAGAAGGAGAGAGAGATAGAATCATCAATAATGAGAATCATTGCTCAGCTGCGTCCTGCATGCCCCCTATTGGGGATTTAGCCTGAAACCTGGGCATGTGCCCTGACCAGAATCAAACCGTGACCTCCTGGTTCATAGGTTGATGCTCTACCACTGAGTCACACTGGTCTGGCAAAACTTAAGAATTTTTAACGTTTCTTCACTGAGTGATTCTGTAAGTAGACATAGCCATCAGACATAACCATTGAGGGTAAACAACAATTTAGGCCGTTTGATGTGGGTTCTGAACTCACTGATAGCCTCTTCCTGTAAGTTCATTGACTTGAGAGGGAGACAAGAGCATGAGCGTGCCCCTCCCACGGGAGCACAGTCTTAAGTCACAAGTGCTTGGGCCCTATTAGAAGTTGGAGCAGAGTCAGCATCCGCTTCAGAAGCATTTTCCTTCAGTGCCAGTCCTTGCTGACACTCGTTCAGTGGGGAGTAGAGCAGCATCCTGAAGCCCTCAATGTCTTGTTGGCAGGGGTCTGCACCCGGGAGCCCCCGTTCTATATAATCACTGAGTTCATGACCTATGGGAACCTGCTGGATTACCTGAGAGAGTGTAACCGCCAGGAGGTGAATGCTGTGGTGCTGCTGTACATGGCCACTCAGATCTCATCCGCCATGGAGTACCTGGAGAAGAAAAACTTCATCCACAGGTAGGAGCCTGGCCACGCAGCCTCCCCACAGAGCCAGGGAGTGAGTGGGGGTCAGGCATCCTTCTAGAAAAGCCCGGCCTCTGAGGCCTTCTGGCCCAGCCTCTTCTGTCTGGCAACACAGTAGACCTTGAAACAAAGGCAAACACTGAGTCCTGACACTGCCGGCTTCGGGTGTGCGGAAGGCCAGGCCTAAGAAATACCTCACTTTGGAACCATTTTGAGCTAACTAGAAGATTAAATGAGTCATAAAAGGCGTCTTTCCGAGGAATCGCAGCTCCCTCTGAAGTGGAGTGCTCGCTGTTCCTCAGGCCCGGCGTGGTCCTCGTGGCCTCTTCTGGAGGCAGTGGCATTGCTTTCACACACATTTGCGGTAATGGCCAGTGCGTGGGTTTTGTTTCTGTGTGGGGTTGGTTTTCCCCCTCCCTTCTCTTTATTATCATTTCATTCTCCACTTAAGTTGCTGTCATCTGGGTCAGCAGTGTTTCCACAATTGTCAGAATTGTGTGTCTGTGGCTCTAAATGAAGCGCCTTTGCTGTTTTAAAGCCTGGAGTGTTTTGACCTTCAAGTGTGCCACAATTATCTTGGTCTTCGCATTCTTTGGTGGTGGAAATGGCTTCCTAGCAAAGTGACAGCCAGTGCAGGACAGAGCTGATGGGCTTTGCCGGAGTCTTTTATGCAGGATGTTCTCCATGCCACCGTGGTGACCTTTCCTACCCAATTAACGAGTATGAAACCTGCACAGGAGATTTCACAGTGAGGAACAAGAGGAGCATGTGTGAAGTGCTGCGCTTCCTTGTACGACGGATTTTCTATGCTCCACGAGACCCTGATTCAGATGCGCTTGTCACTCAAGAATGTGAACCCTCTGAGGCTGCAAATTGAGATTTCCTGACTTCTGGTTTGCCTTGCACAGCAAGGTCCATTCCCTCTTCATTCAGGCAAACTTCAAATCCTTTCCCAAAATCCTGCTAGGCACAGCTCTTCTGTATTTAATTTCCCTCTGATTGCTGCTGACGACGCTGTCCTGTGCAGCCATGGCTTTAGCTGCTGCCTCGTCTCGTTGCTCCATTCCTGTTTGCCTGTGATTTCATGGCTAATGTCCTTGAACCAAAGATTAGACTCCTACCTCCCTGGTAGAATCAGGAGGCAAGAGGAAGCCGATGGTACAGGAGAGAAGTTTCAGGAGACATTTGGATAAGCATCAGGAAGAAAGAGGAAAGTAGAAAACACAATCTGGGTGAAGGATGCTACGGGCTTTATTTTATTTTGTCCTGCCAAGTCTGGAGAGGACAAGCGGAGACTCACTCGGCTATACGTTTCTCCCGGCTGAGGACTGGCCTTTGTTTTTGTTCCTGGCATAGAGCAGTGACAACCAGACAGACACTTAGGTGACACTTACATTCTCTAGAATTATCACTCACAACAGCCCTAAGAAGTAGGCGCTGTGATTATCCTTTTCATTTATGAAGGAGGTAACTGAGTCCCAGCGTAATTACCTTGCTCCAGGCCACAGGGCCAGGGGCCCGCTCCAGTGCCCCCTGCTGCCTCTCTCCATGTTGGGATCCCAGGTGGTTCTGAGGGCCGGGCACTGCCCCCTGGTGGAAGTTAATGTAAGTTTCCTGGGGGCCAGACACCCTTTTTCCATTGTCGGTGGTGGATTTGTGAGGCTGGAAGGCAAGCCAGCACCTCTCATGGATGAACTCTTCTCTTTCCCAGAGACCTTGCTGCCCGGAACTGCCTCGTAGGGGAAAACCACTTGGTGAAGGTGGCTGATTTCGGCCTGAGCAGGTTAATGACAGGGGACACCTACACAGCCCACGCCGGGGCCAAATTCCCGATCAAGTGGACCGCGCCTGAAAGCTTGGCCTACAACAAATTCTCCATCAAGTCCGACGTCTGGGGTAAGGGCCCTCAGTTCCCTCCTCGCCCGCCCAGGGTGTGGCTTCTTTCCTGTTGTGTTTGTTTTGTTTTTCTCTTGCTTTTTGACTGTCTCTTTCTTGCTCTTTTACCCCTCCCTCCCCCATTATTTCTCTTTTTTGCTTGTTTCTTTTTCATTTAAAAGTCGTTTTTTCCCTGTTCTCTCTCCAAAATGAAGTAAAAATGAGCTTTTTCTTCCAAAATAATTTAGGTTAACTTACCCTTTATCTTCATTCTAAGTTCGCTGCTTGGTTTTTCGGGGCACCTAGCCAGCCCTGCAGGTAATGCTCTGTAGTTTGGTTTGGGCTTTCAGTAGGCTATTACCCTCTGAAGCCTCATGACCGTATTGTATTTTTACTTTTTTAAAGAACTTCTTAGGGCAAATTGTAAGCCTACCCTAAAGAAGACAGAGTTGCCTAATGAGTGCCGTTGGCCCTATCACCCAGCTTGCTGGTCACCACCTCATGGTGCTCTTGCATCCTCTTGCACTCCACCAACCCTTATTTTGAATCAAATTCCAGGCATCATATTACTTTGTCCATAAGTATTTCATTGTGAGCCTCTTAAAGATGGCATTTTCATCCCCATAACTACAATGTCCCCCTCCAAAAATTGACAGTAATTTCCAAATATTATCAAATATCCAGTTAGTGTACAACTTTCCCATTAAATCATAAAAGTCATACTTTTTGCCCTGGCCACTGTCCCTCCGTGGTTAGAGCGTTGGCCTGCACACCAAAGGTCTCGGGTTCGATTCCTGGTCAAGGGCAAGTAACTGGGTTGCGGGTTCGCAGTTATTTTCCTTGTTGATACTCAGGCTGTCTCATCTTTGGCTGGTGGGAGCTTCACATTGCTCCTAGTCCCTTTGACAAGACCCTTGTAGCTTTCGATAGCGCCTGTGATGTTTCCCCTTCATTCCCTGCCCTAGACCTGAGCCACCCATTTCTCTAGGGAGGAGTCAGTTCTGCTTCCTTTAATGGGATTAGGAATGTCAAGGCTGAACTAAGGGCCTGCAAAACTTTCAAAGATTTTGAATAAATATATTTTGATTGATTTCAGAGAGGAAGGGAGAGGGAGAGAAAGAAACATGATGAGAGAGAATCACTGATCGGCTGCCTCCTGCATGCCCCACACTAGGTATCGAGCCCATAACCTGGGCATGTGCCCTGACCGGAAATCGAACCTTGACCTCCTGGTTCATAGGTCAATACTCAACCACTGAGCCATGCTGGTGGGCAAAGATTTTGTAAGATTCTTGTGAAGAGTTGGAAGGGACCTTAGCAATATCTCATACTCCAAAAAGGGGAGGCGGCCTGCCTTAAACACATAACTAGTTGGTCACAGAGTTAGGAGTAGACATGGCTTCCTGACATCTAGCTCTGGATTCCTTCCACACATGTCCCAGCAAGATGGTCACGTTACCTACCAGACCCTGGAGGGGCTCATCAGCACAGCCCTCTTCTCCCCTTCAGCGTGTTCTGGTCTGTGCGGGTGAGTGAACTGAAAGTTTCATTCTGTCCTGGGCTGTTAGTAATTAAGAGCCTGGTAAAATGTCAGTGCCTGGCGTGTTTTTGAAAGTGTAGCTTCTGTCTTCTACACAGGTAACCAATTTTAAATGCAGAATACTTAAATTCTGCACATTTCAAATAACCTTTCTCATTCTTTTTTCCCTAGCATTTGGAGTATTGCTTTGGGAGATTGCTACCTACGGCATGTCGCCCTACCCGGGAATTGACCTGTCCCAGGTGTATGAGCTGCTAGAGAAAGACTACCGCATGGAGCGCCCAGAAGGCTGCCCAGAGAAGGTCTACGAACTCATGCGAGCATGTGAGCCTTCCCCTGCCAGTTCCAAAGATTGCATGTGGGCTTTGTAAAGCATTCCACTGCGGGAGTGTGTATGTAAAGCAATTAATGAACGAATTTGATACATATTTTTGCAGACTTTTTTTTCTTTTCAGTTTTTCTCTATCCTTTTATGTATGAGGGTTTTTTGTTCATTTTTTAATACAAAATTGGGATTGATGCATACTTGGATTTCTTTTTAATAAATACCAACTCCTGGGCCTACCTTCACACATCTGTAGTAGTAGGTAGATACTCCAGGGGACATTTATCTGGTTGGTTTTAGTATATATATAAAACCATTCCTGCAACTTTCTTTGCACTTATCAGTGTAACAGACAAATCTTTCCATGTCCATAGTTTGGAGATGTCTCTCCTCCCCACTTAATTTTATCTAATTGTTTAGCATCCCATTAGGTGATTTATTCATTGCTCTTTTCATGAACATTTAGTTACACATTTGTTTAGGATTTTGCCATCAGCAAGGCGGAGTGAGTACCTCCACACACCTGCATTGTACTGGGATTGCTAAAAGTTGAACTGTTGGCTCAAAGGGCTATGTGCATTTTAAGTTTTGACAGATTTTGCCAAATTGTTTTTCAAAAAAAAGTTGTACCAACTTATACTCCCACCAGGCTACATCCTCACCTTGATCAGTCCTTCATCCTCCTTTAATCTCGTTGGCTAGCATTTGTTTACTAATGAGGATTTGGGGCTTTGATAATGGTGAAGTAAGGGTAAAGTCGAAGGCGACCTATTTGGCTTAGTAAATCTGTGCACTTGCTAGAGTGGGGTTGGGAGACAAATATTTGTAAATGCAGTTCCAGCTGTCAACATTTCTCTGGGGTTTTACAATCCATATTCCTGCTAGTATCTAGTCTTTTTAAATTCTTAATGTCTGATAGGACACAATGGCCTTCATCACTTAACTTGTCACACCAAAAGGTGGGTAGCAGGAGTGGAATGCTTCTTTCAATTCTAGACTTTTCCTTCAGAATTGCTAACCACACACTTGTTATTGTTAGCAAGGCCTCCTGGGTGGTCTGACTCGGTCTCATCTGTCCAGGTTGGCAGTGGAATCCCTCTGACCGGCCCTCCTTTGCTGAAATCCACCAAGCCTTTGAAACAATGTTCCAGGAATCCAGCATATCAGATGGTAAAGTGCCCGTCCTGGGGGTGCCTGCCTGGGTGGAAGGTTGGGGTAGGAGGGATGGTTGTAGGGGACTCCAGCCCTGGTCCTTTAGTTCACTTCCAGGGAGAAGTGCGCGGGCCAACAAGTTATCTGAGACCAGAAAGCTGGACAGAAGTGTTGAGTGTGGAGCTCTGTCCTTCGTAGCCATGCAGAATTCTGAAAACTATAAGTGTTGTTTCCTTATCATTTGTATCTCTTTTCTGTAAATGTGTGTAGATGACCACTGTTATTTTAAAAAGAAAACCAGCACACCAACAGTGACACCGTACTGATGGCTGCTGGTGTGTGTGTGTGTGTGTGTGTGTGTGTGTGTGTGTGTATGTGTGTGTTTGTTGTGGTTTTGGTGTTTCTTAGAAGTGGAAAAGGAGCTGGGGAAGAAGGGCCTGCGAGGGGTTGCAGGCACTCTGCTGCAGGCCCCAGAGCTGCCCACCAAGACAAGGACCTCCAGGAGAGCCACGGAACACAAAGACGTCACCGACCTGCCTGAGGCGCCCCACTCCAAGGGCCCGGGAGAGCCTGGTATGTCCCTGCCCCTCCCCACGGGAGGCCCAGGGCCAGTGTGGCACGTGGGAGGCAGTGAGTGGGACCTGCACAGAAGGGCAGGCAAATCCCATGTTAGTAATCTCTCCCGGAAGCACACCTACCCCCACCCCCCGTGAACCATCAGGAGCCATTGGCTTCAGCGGTCAGTTCAGTCAAATAGGCAGGGATGCTTATGAAACCTGAGGAAGAAGCCCGTTTCATGTGTTACTCACAGTGTGGCCCAGAGCGAGCGTCCTGTCTGGTCTCTGAGAAGTGAGAGGGAGATGGGAGCGGTTCAGGAGGATTCTCAATGTTGTCAGGGGCTGGATCTGGTGCCTCCTGTGTGCCAGGCTCTATTTGGAGCCAGGCTGCTCTGATGTAGCAGTTGTCCCCCTGCCCCCCAACCCTAGAAGTCTGGGTCCTCCTGCAGACCAGTGGAACAAGAGTGCCGGAGGTGGGCCAGCATCTGGTTTGTAGGGGATGCTCTGATGGATCACAGACTAAGTGGGAAGGGACGGGGCAAGCTGGCAATATGGGATGTTTTGCCACAGCAGGACCTATAGAACCATGCTTCCCAAGTTTTTTTGTTTTTAATGTTTTTATTGATTCTGAAGAGGGAAGGAGAGGGAGAGAGAGAAACATCTATGTGAGAGAGACTCATTGATTGGTTGCCTCCCGCATGCACCCCGACTGGGGCCGGGGTTCAAACCTGCAACCCAGGTATGTGCCCTTGACCAGAATCGAACCTGCAACCCTTGGGTGCGCAGGCTGATGCTCTAACCACTGAGAATGCCAGCCAGGGCACATCCTCTGTTCTACAGATGAGAAAGCTGAGGATGAGCAACAAGAAGTAACTTGCCCAGGCCTTGCTGAGCCCAGAGCCCAGACCTCTTAGAGAGTAGGAGGCTAGCTCGAGATGTCTTGCCCGCTCAGGAGTCTTTAGTTTGGACTTGTTGAACCTTCCCCATGTGTTTCAGATCCTCTGGACCACGAGCCTGCTGTGTCTCCACTGCTCCCTCGAAAAGAACGAGGTCCCCAGGATGGTTGCCTAAATGAAGATGAACGCCTTCTCCCCAAAGACAAAAAGACCAATTTGTTTAGCGCTTTGATCAAGAAGAAGAAGAAAACGGCCCCAACCCCTCCCAAACGCAGCAGCTCCTTCCGGGAGATGGACGGCCAGCCAGAGCGCAAGGGGGCCGGAGAGGAAGAGGGCCGTGAAGTCAGCAACGGGGCGCCTGCTCTCACACCCTCGGACACAGCCGAGCCAGCCAAGTCCCCCAAGCCCAGCAGTGGGGCTGGGGTCCCCAATGGAGCCTTCCGGGAGTCAGGAGGCGCAGGCTTCCGGTCTCCCCACCTGTGGAAGAAGTCCAGCACGCTGACCAGCAGCCGACTAGCCGCCAGCGAAGAGGAGAGTGGCAGCAGCGCCAGCAAGCGCTTCCTGAGGTCTTGCTCTGCCTCCTGCGTGCCCCACGGGGCCAAGGACACAGAGTGGAGGTCGGTCACGCTGCCTCGGGACCTGCAGTCCACGGGAAGACAGTTTGACTCGTCCACTTTTGGAGGGCACAAAAGCGAGAAGCCAGCTCTGCCTCGGAAGCGGGCGAGTGAGACCAGGTCTGACCAGGTGGCCAGAGGCACGGTGACGCCCCCACCAAGGCTGGTGAAAAAGATGGAGGAGTTGGCTGATGAGGTTTTCAAAGACACAGCGGAGTCCAGCCCGGGCTCCAGCCCTCCCAGTCTGACTCCAAAACTTCTCCGTAGGCAGGTGGTGGTGGTTCCTTCCTCTGGTTTGCCCCACAAGGACGAGGCCGGGAAGTCCAGTGCCTTGGGGACACCTGCCGCAGCTGAGCCAGTGCCCGCCACCAGCAGAGCAGGACCAGGTGCACCTGGAGGGACCAGCAAGGCCCCCGCAGAGGAATCTCGAATGAGGAGGCACAAGCCCTCCTCCGAGTCCCCAGGGAGAGACAAAGGGAAGTTGTCCAAGCTCAAGCCTGCCCCGCCACCCCCACTTCCAGCCTCTGTTGGGAAAGCCGGGAGGCCCTCTCCGAGCCTGAGCCAGGAAGCAGCTGGGGAGGCCGGCGCCAGCGGGAAAGCAAAATCCACGGCTGTGGTTGTGGATGCTGTAAACAGTGACGCTGCCAAACCCAGCCAGCTGGGGGAGGGCGTCAAAAAGCCTGTGCTCCTGTCCATGCCAAAGCCTCAGTCATCCACCAAGCCAGCGGGGACCCCGACCAGCCCAGTCCCGACTCCCTCCACTTTGCCATCAGCATCCTCCGCCCTGGCAGGGGACCAGCTGTCCTCCACCGCCTTCATCCCTCTCATATCGACCCGTGTGTCTCTTCGGAAAACCCGCCAACCTCCCGAGCGCATCGCCAGTGGCGCCATCACCAAGGGTGTGGTCCTGGACAGCACCGAGGCCCTGTGCCTCGCCATCTCCAAGAACTCGGAGCAGATGGCCAGCCACAGCGCCGTGCTAGAAGCCGGCAAAAACCTCTACACGTTCTGCGTGAGCTACGTGGACTCCATCCAGCAAATGAGGAACAAATTCGCTTTCCGCGAGGCCATCAACAAACTGGAGAATAACCTCCGGGAGCTTCAGATCTGCCCGGCAACCGCGGGGAGTGGCCCGGCGGCCACTCAGGACTTCAGCAAACTCCTCAGTTCCGTGAAAGAGATCAGTGACATCGTACAGAGGTAGCAGAAGCCAGGCGTCAGGCCAGCCAGAGCCGCCTGCAGTGTGTGAGGGCTCCCGTGCCCATGACGGTGGCTGATACAGGACCTGTGAGCTGGAACCTTGGCCCCGGAGCTGAGGGCCACCATGGAGTGTACCGCCCTACTACCTACATTGTGCACCGACTGTCCTCCTGCACTTTCCTCCTCCTCAGCCCGCTCTCTGAGCCTCTCTGTCAGAGTTCTGTCTGTGGGTTCCGCCTGGTGGACTGCAGTCGGCACACCAGCCCCTCCCCACGGGGGCGTCAGGCCTGCCCTTCGGCCAGCTGTGAAGGTGGGTGAGCGCTTCCTCTCTGTCTTTCTTTCTGGGGGATTTCCTCTGGCTATGCCTTCGCCTCCGTTTTCCCCAACAAGAAGTGCCCTGAACGGGAGCTGTGTCACCAGGCCTTGGGAACTGTGGCCTTCACTCACCTGGTGGAGGGAGCCTGTACCCTCACCCTCCTCGCACCTCCTGTGCTTCAGACACGTTCCAGCTCTGCATCCTGGGAAGCTGTGCCGGGGCTGGGGCTCCCCATTTCCTCCCGTGAAGGACAGCTCTCACCTGGGGGTGAAACAGGTGCTAGCACAAGCCAGCCTCTGGGTCGCAGGAAGGAGGGGGACTGTCCTGTCATCCTGCTGCGTGTCCGCGAGCCCAGTCCCAGTTCTCTTGTGACACTGCTAATTCTGGATGGAAAGCCCAAGTCTGCCGGGGAGCAGGGTTGCTGTCCAGCACGCAGGGGCAGGGGTGGAGGGCTGGCTTGTGCGAACACTGGTGCTGAGGTGGCCCGGCCCCGGCCTAGGCAGGTCTTCGGTGGCCCAGTGTTACCTTCCCTTTGAACTTGCAGGTGCCCGAAAAAGGCACTTGATCTTGATTTCTGACGGATCTCCATTCCCTCCCTTGTACTCCCCTAAGACAAAGTAGATTCTTACAGGACTTTCTCCTCTGTGACAAGCCTGTCTTCAGTTTTCTGGAGTTCTTGAAGCATTTCAAAGCTCTGCTCTCAGCACAGCCGATACAGACGTGGGCACCCGCACACAGACGGGAGGAGCAGGACCGGGCCACCAAAGCACCACTAGTGTTGGTTGCACCCTCGTGGGCAAATGTCTTATTTAATGACCACAAGCAACACTTGGCCATCAGGGATGAAGAAAACCACAAAGAAATGAAACCCTAGAGAGTGTCTCGAAGAGCCGGTATGGTGTCATCTCCCCCTGCGCTGCCCAGGACCAGGCTCGGGGCAGCGGCCCAGGCCTCCTTGACAGTGACCTAGAGCAGCTACTGAGGAGTGGGCAGGCACCTGCTGGGTCTCACTCCAGGCCCAGAAGCAACCCTTGGAGAAACCAGGAGAAACCCACCCTCTGCTCCCCACACCTGCCCGTGACCTCACACAGGCCCTGTTTTTACACTAATCACCCGAACTTGTATCTTATTTCTCTGGATTGTTTGATACTGTTCTCACAGCGCATCACCTCTTTGCCCCCTCAGACTGCTGTTCTGCACAGACTGAGGGAGGTGCTAGCATACCGCCAGCGGCCTTGCAGACAAAGCAAACCGACCCCAGGCCCCTCGCCTCCCGTTTCTGTGAGGTACTGGCCTCCTTTCTTCACGTGACGTGCCACTATATTTTGCATTTATACTTTGGTATTACACTCTTGTAGACTTGCTCTTTTATAAATGACGTGTAAATAGTTTTCCACTCCCCTCCCTGCTCCAATGCCTATGGTCTCTCTCTCTTGTTTTTGGTCCAGTACATTTTGTTTCTGTATATGACTTTGTTTTTTGAATCCACATCTCTCCTCCGTAGTATTTTTTAAATAAATGTTTACATTAGAATGTGCGCGGATTGCTTTGGTCTGTAACTCTTCCCTGTTGTCCAGAGCTGTGGTGTGGGTCGGAGGGAGGGCGCCCTTGCTTTCTGGAGGGGCTGGGGCCCCCATGTTGGGTTTTATGGGGCAGAACAATGGCAGGATCCCAGCAGGATCCTGCGGCCTGTGTCACCTCGGCCGGCCGTTCTCAGGCACTTGCCCTGCCCTCGTCTCCAGTCCTTCCTGTGCCCTTGACACTTCCTTGCCAGCAGCCCAGCTCTTGTCAGTGCTGCTCTTAGTAGGGCCACTGCTGACTGGCATGGCAAGGAAGACCAGCCCGAGGGCTGAGCCCACTGTCAGGCCGCCCAGCATCATGGAAATGGGAGGTGTCATGTCCCAGTTCCTCGCTGGCCTGAGAGAGTTCATCCCTCCGCTGGTGCTCTCTCCCTTCGCCTTTGAACTCACTTTCTGGCGCTGCCCTCAGCCCCCAGACACCCCGCGCTGTGTTCACCACGCCAGGCGCCATTGCTTTGTGTGTATGAGGACAAGCAGGGCCTGCTGCCTGCGAGGGCATGGAAATACCACCCTGGGCCCCGCCTCGGCCTCTCCCAGCCCCTAGGCGGGGGCTGACTTTCTCATCTGGGTCTCCATCTGACACCGCTGACAGCCAGGAAGTGGAGTCGGGGCAGTGAGCGGCGCCCTGTGGTAATGATACTTATTAAGCCAGCAGGCTTGTCGGGGTGTGGATCCTGCTCATAAGGCACAGCGATGCGTGAACCTCCTCCCCCGAGGCCTTGGGCGCAGGACGGGTGCGCGCCGCGGGGTGGAGGTGAAGACGCTGCCTGGGACGGGTTTGCAGGAAGCCGCCTGCGCCTGCGCAAGCCGAGGTCAGGTCTCCCCTCGCTGAGTCCAGGCTGCAGAGTCTGTAGTGGTTGAACCATCACTGGGCACCCGCTCGCCGAAGTCCAGCTTCTCCGCGGGCATGAATGACAGCTCTCAGGTCTGAGAGAGGGCGGGATGGTTATAACGACAGCCTCTGTGTCGGACGTGGACTGGTCGCGGAATTGACACAGCAGCCTCTTTGACAGTGTGTTGTGAGACCCTTCTCCCAAATAAGATTCTTCCTTGTAATCACCTGAACTTAAACTTGGGTCTGAACTTGTTTGGGTCACAGAACCCCTTGAGAGCTTAATGCACACCGACTCTAGCCCCAGAGAAACGCGCATGTGTGCGCACACAACAGTTCTCAGGTAGTTGTGAGTTCTACCCTCGAAGTCCAGGACCAAGGAGGACCCAAGGGCCAACGCTGTTGCCATTGTTACCACAAAATAGGAGCCTAAAGCGTCAATTTTAGGATAGGCACATGGTGTGTTCATGTAGTGGAATGTTCTGGAGCAATGAGGATGAACTCGGCGCTGCCACACCACAAACATAATGCTGAGCAGAGGTAGCCACACGAACTGAACTGGTGATGCCGGAGCTTTCATCGCTTCAGTGGGCGCGGCTCATCTGCGGGATGGTGTTTCGTGTCAGGGTGGAGGGTAACCTGAGGGAGGGGTCATGCCAGGCTCGAGCACAGGCAGCTCTGGGAGCAGACGGTGCTCTGCTGAGAGTGGTGCTGGCCGCTGGGGTGTCCCCTGGTGAGAGTCCCTCGAGCTGGACACTGCCAATTGGAGCACATTCTCCAGGTGCTGTGTTTCAGTGGGAGCTTTCTCAACATCCCAGCTCACGTGAGCACGCCCAGCTGCTTACAGATGTGCCCTCCATTACCACGTGCAGCCCTCACGCCTGTGTCCTGTGAGGGAGGCTCTGTGGCTGGGCTCCTTTGATGGGTGCGGAAGCTGAGGCTCAGAGAGGTGAAGAGCTCGCCCGAGGTCACCCCACCCAGCATGTGCGGCCTAGCGCTGCTGTGCAGGACTGACGTTCTGACGGTGCAGGTGGCCACAGCACGACTCGCAGAGACCTGTGCTCTGGGGGCCAGCTCCTCCCTCCCTCCCTCCCGCATGGAAGAGAAGCAGTTAAGAATTAGCTCCCCCAAGTTCTTGGGTTTTCAAGGTATTTTATAGGAGCCGTTCCCAAATCAGGTGCTCTGGGAAACCAATTTCCAGGTGTCTTGGCGCAGAGGACACTCGGTGGGACAAGCCTGGCCGACCACTGTGTCCCTGTCCGAGCCTGCCCTCATCCCTGGTGCTCACCCAGCCTCGTGGGCAGGGCTCCAGCTCCCCGCTCGCTCAGAGGGTCACAGCGCCCCATCTGGGTTGGGTCTTCGGTGGAACGTGTCACGCAGCGTCTTGGGCACGGGGGCCAGTTGGGACGCGGCGGCCCCTTGTCCACTACAGCAGCTGCCTGATGGCTTCCTGCCCCCACGAGCCTCTTCTTCTCTTAAGCAGTTTAATTAATATTTCAAACACATGGGAAAATATAGACGGAAATATTCCCCATCCAGGTTTGTAGCTAAATAAAGACCTTTAGACCGACACCCAAGATGAAGACTTTCTTGTGTTTGAAGTAAACTTGGTGAGCGATGCCAACTGCTCGGGAACCTGCACTGGAGGGGAGCTCACTCTGCCTCCAGAGCTGTTTGCCAGGAGCCTGTCCGTCTGGAGAGGAACCTTCCCCACCAAGGGGAGAGCGGCGGGCGCGGGAGTAGCGTGGCAGGCCCCAAACCTCCACAGAGCCCATGGGTTCGAGTGGGCTGGGTTAGAGAGGAGGGTAGCCACACGGATCGGGAGTGGATTTAACGGGCGAGTGCCCGTAGCAGCTGGGTTGTGCTGATTTTCAGGGTTATTGGGTGCGGATGTCCTGGCACCTGGGAAGGGTAGCCCTGTTGTTGATTCCTGTTTAAGGGTGGGAGCCTAGTGACAGGACACCCATAGCCTTGGAGGCCGCCTCTCCCCTTCACCTCTGCTCTCCTCATCGAGGTTCCTCTAATCCCGTGGTCAGATTAGACGCAGTGGTCGGCAAATTGTGGCTCGCGAGCCACATGCGCTCTTTGGCCCCTTGAGTGTGGCTCTTCCACAAAATACCGACTTCTGAGCATGGGCCATGAAGTTTCAATTGCACTGTATGTGTGCGCCCGCATGTGTTTTGTGGAAGAGCCACACTCAAGGGGCCAAAGAGCGCATGTGGCTCGCGAGCCACAATTTGCCGACCACTGCGTCTAATCTGACCCCACAGGAGTGTCGCAGCCTTGGTGGCTCCATGGCTAATAATGGCTCTTCTTTTAAGGTGTGCGTTTTCAGGTTCTCAGGTGGGAATCAGCAGGTGAGGGCCGGCCAGGGGCCCTTGCCGCTGTTGGCCCTTGGTCTGTCTCACGTGGTCTCGGGAGCACGCTCCGTGGTTCCCGTGTGTGTGTGTGTGTGTGTGTGTATGAGCTGATGGTGATCCAGATTGCTGTCTCCCACCCCCGCCTTGGCCAGGTGGGAACGCGCACCCACGGTGAGACGGCTGGGCTGCCATGGTGCTTGTCCCTTCTGCCACCCTAGGACAGGATCTGAGCGCCGGAGCTGTCCTTTATGGACACGCGGCTTGTTTTCTTGAGGTTTGTCCTCCGTGGCTTGAGGGCTGTGTCTGCCTCTGTTACCAACAGACAAAGACCCGGGCGGCGGGGGGTAGGGGGGTTCCATCCCCATGGGACCATTACATTAGCAGCAGGAGCCCTGGATCGCCCCCTCTGTGGACATGGTGGAGGTGAGAGGACCATGTGCCTCCCACGCTCGGTCTGGTCCCTCAGCCACCCGGAGCCCCCGGGCACCTGAGCCGGGGCAGCGGGGAGGAGCATGAGCGCCAGGGGGAGGCCGCTGGCCGCAGCCTAGCCCATCCCATTTCACCACCCAGTTCGCCCCACTCGGCGCTGGTGGCTCAGAGCTGTGCACCCCTCAATGAAGTGGCCCTCTAGCTGCCAAGGATGGAGCGCTGCTGCTGGGGAATGCAAGTCGCTAATAGACTGGAAAACACGGCGAAATGTGCCACGGTGCCAAGCTGGGTCCCGCCCAGCGTGGTCCTAAAAGGCTAATAAAAATCCACCACTTAATTGTGACAGCTCAATGGAAAATTATTCAGTTGCGAACAGGGGCAAGCAGCAGCTCCCAAGGAGGAAGGGAGATGTTGCCATGGTAACATCAATACAGGTCTTCTCAGCAGTTGAAGCAGCCGGGGAGTGAGAAGCGTCAGACTGCGGAGTCTGGCACAAGACAGGTGTGGTGTGTGTGTGGGGGGGTGGGGGAGGGAGAGAACACACCAGAGCAGCGTTAGTAGCGATGCTCCACCTCTCCCCAGGCTGCAGCCCCTCCAGCCTGAGCAGCCGCCCGGGCAGAGAGCTGTCTTTCAGAGTGCTCCCGGCTTGGAGACCAGGGAGGGGCAGCCGAGTGCAGGAGGAAATGCACCGCATGTGTTCCCCTCTCCCTCTGACCACGGGCATTTTACCAGCAGCCATTAGGGGGTGGTGTTGGGGGTTTGGGGGGGGGGGGGTGGCGGGGAAAGAGAGAACACACCAGAGCAGCGTTAGTAGCGATGCTCCACCTCGCCCCAGGCTGCAGCCCCTCCAGCCTGAGCAGCCGCCCGGGCAGAGAGCTGTCTTTCAGAGTGCTCCCCGCTTGGAGGAGACCAGGGCGGGGCAGCCGAGTGCAGGAGGAAATGCACCGCATGTGTTCCCCTCTCCCTCTGACCACGGGCATTTTACCAGCAGCCAATTAGGGGGTGCTGGAGGTGTGCAGCTGCCATCTCCCCAAAGTGCAGGCACTGGCAGCCCAGGAAGGCCAGGTGCCCAGGGCACAGAGGACCTCGAGGCGAGAGGCAGGCAAGCTTTCCCTGAGCGTTTGCAGTTGTTACCGCTTTTATTTCAAAAGGTGCACACACCACATCTCATATTCGGAGCATTTGCAGTGCAGCCTTGCTGCAGCAGAAACGTATTTCTTGTCCATCTCCCACGAGACACTGGACAAAGACGGTGCCACCGAGCAGGGCGGTCATCGGGAGGGAGTGGGCAGCTGGTTCGGAAGGGCGTCTCGGCACCGCAGCAAGATTCTTGCCGGAGGGAACGTGTGTTAATGGGGCAAAGAACAAGATTCTCATTTCTAACTTTCAGAGCCATACTCGGCCCAGTGGAATGCACTCAGCCGCCATTGCACTTGGATGTCCGCTCCGGACATCACCATGGAGACTCTCAAAGCTTTGATTGCCCCACTGTGGTCAGTCTTCCTACCTGCAGCTCGCAGCCCACACAGCCAGCTGCCTGTTCATGTTCACAACCAGCAGGGCCCGAGGGCCCTCAGAACCGCCGCAGGGGGCAGCTTGCTTTTGGTCACCACCTTTTGGACACGACGCAGGTTTTTGCTTCAGCAAAGTTGGAAATCAAAAGCACCACTTAACCAGTCCTCCAGCTAATCATTTATTACAGTGATACCACCCCTTTTCAGGCTCTTGGAGGTGGGGAGGGGGCCGAGGGGAAACCCTGGGCAGGCTGCCCTGGGCCCTTCACCGCCGGCCGAAGCGGAAGTGGAAGCCGCCTTTCTTCTTGTCGTGGCCGCTGATCTCATCGGCCAGGGTCCCTAACGGGCTACTAGCCTTCTCGCCATCAGCCAGGAGGGAGCCGGCTTCCCCACGGCCATCATCCTGCCTCCTGAACCGGAGCCCGAAGCCGGCACGCTCTCGGCCCAACATCTGCAGCTCCTTGGCCATGATGAGCAGGGCTCTTGCGAGGCCGCTGATCTCATCGGCCAGGGTCCCTAACGGGCTACTAGCCTTCTCGCCATCAGCTAGGAGGTTGCCAGCTTCCCCACGGTCATCATCCTGTCTCCTGAACCTAAGCCGAAAAGCGCTCGGCCCAACATCTCCAGCTCCTTGACAAAGAGGAGCAGGGCTCTTAGGTGTAGAGCTCTCCGCCACTCCAGGAAGTGGACTTTGTGTCTCCCCGCCAGGTCAGCCCATCTCATTCCGCCTCCAGTGCCACCCGTGGTGTCCATGGGCGCTTCTCTGTCCAGGAGAGGAAAGCAGGCGGCCAGCGGCAGGAGGAGGAGGCAGGACAGCAAGTGAAGGCGCACCATCTGGCCCAGAGGAAAGAGGGAAAAGTTACAGGCTGCTCCCGTGGACCCCGAACAGCACTGGTCAGCTACTTCCCAGGGCCCGGGCAGCCATCAGAGGCGTAAGCTGGGGGCTCAGCGGGGCCCAGCTTGCAAGCAGCGGGAAGAAGTGTCACTGCGTCGGGGGACCGGGCCTGTATTCCATAGCAGGTGTAGGCGCTGGTTGCACCAACTAGCTGGTCTCCCTCTCCTGCCATCTCTGGGTTTGACGGCAGTAACAGTGGAGGTCTAATCCCACCGCGGCTGGAGTGGCTCACAGCAGCACACAGGCAGCGCAGGAGAGCTGCGCAAATTTGGGTTCATTCTTCTCTCATTGTAAGTATTGACTCTTGAGCCATATCCTCTCAGCCTCGGAGCAGCAAGTTTATAGCACAACCTCTCGGTTCCAACTTGGTAATAAATGGGTCCCGCGAAACTGTTCAGCTGGGACGCTGCTAATGTCTCTCACTTGGAAACCAGTTGCTCCCAAAAGCAGGAAGCGGATTTGATGAACCTGGTCTAACTCAGATATCCACCCAGAGAGGAGCGTGCAACTCAGATACCCACCCGGAGAGGAGCGTGTAAAGGTGGCTGGGGCACCGGTGGTCCCCACTTCATCTTCACAATAAACCTCACTTTTAGGCACTGTTATTTCCATTTTCCCACCAAGAAAACAGTCAGAAAGGCTAGGCCAGTGGTTGGCAAACCGCGGCTCACGAGCCACATGTGGCTCTTCGGCCCCTTGAGTGTAGCTCTACCACAAAATACCGACTTCTGAGCATGGGCCACGAAGTTTCAATCGCATTGTACGTGCATGCCCACACCTGGTATTTTGTGGAAGAGCCACACTCAAGGAGCCAAAGAGCCGCATGTGGCTCATGAGCCGCGGTTGCCGACCACGGGGCTAGGAGATTGTGCCAGGTCACACAGAAAGTGAAGGGCTCCTGACTCGTGGCCTGTGGGCGTTGCTTTCTGTCCACGGCTCAGACTGCCCTTGCCACCCCCCTCATGGTTTTCCTTACCCCTTTTCAGGGAGGCAGCAGGCCCACGCCGGTGACTGGCCCCAAAATCACAGCTTTACTGTGACAGCCGGGGGGCGAGGGGGGGGGGGAAGCCCACGCCTAACTGGGCTTGGCTCGGGAATGGCTACATGGGTGGTGATACGAGGGGGGGTTGAACCCGGATTAGAACTTCCAGACATGCTCCTGCCTCGGCCGTGATTGCTGGGTCCCTCGCAAAGGAAGCCTTTTTTTTTTTTTTTTAAATATTTTTTATTGATTTTTTACAGAGAGGAAGGGAGAGGGATAGAGAGTTAGAAACATCGATGAGAGAGAAACACCGATCAGCTGCCTCCTGCACACCCCCTACTGGGGATGTGCCCGCAACCAAGGTACATGCCCTTGGCCGGAATCGAACCCGGGACCCTTGAGTCTGCAGGCCGACGCTCTATCCACTGAGCCAAACCGGTTAGGGCAAAGGAAGCCTTTTTGGTAATGACCGTGGGAGTCAGGTTGACTGGCCCTCTGAGAATCGAGGCTGGAATAAAGAGCTGGATGGGAGAGGACACCCGGCTCCCAGCGCTCTCTCCAGGCGGTTCCCTCCCAAGAAGACATCCCGAGTGAACTGAGCAAGTGAACTGAGCGAGCAAGCCTTACAGAAGTCCCAAAGCAGCCTGGGGCTGGAGCCGCCTCGGGCCAGCTTCAGGGAGCCCCTCCCTTGGGCCTGGGTGACCCCGCTTCCCACAGGTGCCCCTTCCACAGGAAGCACTGCTGCAGCTGCTTGAACTGGAGGCACCCCGAATGGCGGATGGATCCGCTGGGGGATGGCCTGGGCCGCCGGAAGGGGGACCCCTCGATGCACTGAAGGAAGTGGCCCTTCTCAGCTTTTGGGGTCATGGACCCTTTTAAGAACCTGGTGGAAGGTTGTGACACTCGAAATTAGGCCCCAACTGCCAGGGTGTGGCTGGAAGAGCCTGGGGTGGGAGCCCGGGCGGGCTAGTGCGCGCTCTGGCTGCAGGGTGAGGACCCGTCCCCCTGCCTGGCCCGAGGGGCTCCTGTGGGAGCGGAGGCTGTACTCACCGCTGCGGCTGCTCCCTGGAGGCTGTGGGCTCTGGTGCGGGTGTGCCCGGGCCTCCCTGCTTTATGTAGCTCCCGGGGACTTCCGCCCGCGCTCTGACGGCCGCTCTGACGGCCGCCCGCGCCCTGATTGCTGTACATTCCTGGCCCTGGGATTCCATTGGGATCGCTGCTGGTGGGGAGAGGGGGGCAGTGCCCGCTGCATTGACGAAAGACTGACACGGATGTGGTGAAGAGCCTCCTCGTTGGCGTGTAATAAACGCCCCAGGGCTTAGGAACAATAGAAGG